TAAACGGCTCCCACTCCTGCTGTATCAATCTACATAAGTTGTTCGTCACCCTCCAGTTATTTTGCTGCAGCCGGACTGCGGCAGCACTGTGCTTCCCCCTCAGCTGAAAACATACATTGCTAGCAGAAAGGAATATGTCTCTTCCGGATGTTGGTCTTGGCCACAGTGACCAGATTAGGCAGGACTCATATGTTCTGGCTGAACCAGGGCTTTGAGATCTGGGGTGAGGGGCCCTGGGTTTGGCTCACCCCATGCCACCCTAGGCTCTTCCTGATTCCAGTACCAGGAGCTTCAGGTCACTTCCAGGAGGGAAAGAGATGACCTCAAAGGAATTAAGAGAGGTCCACAAACTGAAGGGCACTATGCAGAGGCTTCAAGCAGAGATCACTAACCTCAAGAAACAGGTGGGCACCAACTTGGCAGTGGTAACCGTTGGGGGGTGTTACAGAGATTCTTTTCTATTTTTCTGTATTCTCACATTTTCCACAATGAATGAAGGCTATGAGGTGGAGGAGACAAACACAGTGTGGGCAGGCGCCTGGTCTCCCAGGCTCCACTCACTGTCCGCTGTTGACCTTGGCAAGACGCCACTCTGGAGGCAGAGCAGAAGGGCAAGGAGGCACTCAGAGGGGACAAGTTGATAGAAGTGGAGGTTGCCCTGCAATGGGCTAAGGAGGATCTGGCCTAGCGCTGCGTGACTACCAGGAGCTGCTGTGGGACAAGCTGCCCCTGGACGTGGAGATGGCCACCTACTGCAAGCTGCTGGAGAGTGAGGAAAGCAGGCAGACCCCAGAAGACATGGATGAGCAAAGGTCCTTATTGTCCTCAGTCACAGGAAGGACTCTATGTCTGCCTTCCTGTCTGTATTATGGCTTAGATGATTGACTCATTCATTCTGAGAAATGTCAGCTGAGACTCATTCAGCAGAGGTGTCCCCAGTGCACAGGCTGAGCACTAATCCTGGCCCCACATGCTGCAAGCATTTCTTTAAATGTTCCCACTCTTGGACAAGAGGGGAAGATGAAGGATTTCCCTGCCATTGAGAAATACAGAGAGGAAAGCTATTGCTTTCTTCAGCTTTGCCCAAGCAGGTGTGGTTAACCTGATACCAGCCTGGGAAAGTGGGCAGAGGCATATGGGGCAGAGGGGCCTGGGAGAGGTAAAAGTGGCTGTGCAAGTCTTGGACAGTTGTGACAAGTGAGTGGGGTGAGCAGGGCTCAGTGATGACAGCAGCTGTCCTGGCTACTCTCACTTGCATAATCCAGTCTCATGCTGGAAATTGCAGACAGTGATCCTCCCAGAGTGAGACTGAATTATGCATTGGGGACCAGGCCTAGGGACTCTTTCCCTCTGCACATGGTTCCCTATTGAGCTCTTTCAGAGGATTTGCTCATATTCTGATTGTCTCTGTGCCTACAGGATAGCTGGAGGAGCCACTGACACTATGAGCTACTATAAGTGGCTGGGGAGTCTCCTCTGCTGATCCATCAGGGGATGCCCTTCCCTGATGCCTGAGAGGAAGAGGCAGGAGTCTTTCCTGGTGGGTGAGGGTTTGGGTCCTGCGGTGCTGGACCTTTCTCTGTAAGCACTGGTCGTGTGGCCTTGGATAAGTCACTTCTTGTCTTATGGCCCCCCATGGAGGAGATTAGAGAAACCACAGGGTCCTTTTGCACTTAGGCTCTCATGCTGTCCTCCTGGTGGAGGAAGCAGAGATCCTGCCTTTAGGACCCTCAGTCTGAGGGTAGAGAGATGGTCCAGGTGGATGGAGAGTGTGGGATGCCTGGTGTTGGTGGCCATTTTTCCTTTATGGGACACTTTAGGAGGATGCTCCTCAGTACCGGGTGGGAGACAGATGTTCAAGGACTTGAGGGGGTGCCGGGACTTCGGAGCTGCCCTGACTCTTCCTTTGTTCCCCACATCACTGGTGTCAAGCACAATGTCCACTTCTGGTTTAGCTGCAATTGGCTTCTGCCCAAGTGCCAGAATCTCTTGAAGGAGACCTGGTGCAGTGTATGGGTCTGTGTCCAAGGTTGTGGGGCCCTCAGGGGACACTGACATCCCCCAAGGGCTCAGATCTCAAGTTGGGAATTTTGGAGATATCAGTTTGGGGCTGGGCAATGAGGCGACAGGTCAAGAGAGATCAGGGATCCAACTCAGGGCCCTGAAGCCTATAGGTCCCCCTCCTGGAAGCAAGAGCCAGTCTTCCAGCCCTGATTTCTCATGTCATCCATTGACTTAAGCCATCCACACGTTCCTACCTGATCTGGCTCTACCCCACCTTTTATTTTCTTGGTCTACTTGAAATGGGCTCCTGGGTCAAAACCAGTTCTTTTCTTCTCCTCCCTTTATACACCCCAAAGTTTTCTTGGGAGAAAACCCTCCCAAGAGTCTTAGAGAGTCTTCAGAGTTTTGGTTGCCTTTGACCCTGCCTCTCCCTGCACCCTGCAGTGCTCAGAGTCCTCACTGTCCCCTTCCATGGGAAGAAGCAAGGGCACTTGTCCTATCTCCAGTCCTGAAAGAGGGGCATGCACTCACTACCATAATTACTAGTCATTCTCAGTTATTCCTAATGGATGTTAGCCTTGGCACTGCAACCTGGTTTTTGAAGAACTTGTTTTTATTTGATTTTATAAAGCCCCATTTGACGCATTTGCCTCCCATGGATTCATAGACCCTTGTCCAAGGAAGGAGCAGAGAGAAAGGTCCTTGGGGCCTGTAGCGTGAGTGTGTGCCAGCTTGGCCTGACTCCCTTCCCAGAGAAAGCCAGTGAGGATCATCCACCTGTGAGATGGGAAGAGTTAATGTGTCTCCTTCTCCAGGGATAAGGGAAAAATACAACACATCTCAGAGACCATCCTGCAGGCAGAGTCTAGTTTGATGTAGCGTCCATTGTGACCTTCTAGGCTACAGGATATGAGCAGAGTCCTGAGCCTCTACTGTTTATGGAGTAGATCTTGTGCCCTATGTTTCCTTTTAAAAGAATCAACTATTCCCAACTTGCCCCCACTCCTCCATATATTTCCAGTAAACTTCATGGGAAAGTCAATCTACTGGTAACTTTAAAAAAATACTCACTAACCAGATGACCAGATGGACCTGAGGTTCTTTTTTTTTTTTTTTTTTCCTATGATGCTGGGAATCAAACCTAGGGTTATGCAGGCCAGGCAAGCACTCTAACACTGAGTCATATTCCCAACCCTGTGGACATGAGAATTGTTCATCATCCCCAAATTACCACCCTGCAATCTGCCCAGAGAGGAAGAATTGGATTGGGACAAGTGACCAGAGAAAGTTTCCAGGGTGCGGGGGAGGGTGGCTTCTGTGGTAAGGTCACAAGGAGTTACCTCCATCCTCAAGCTGGTGTGCTGAAAGGAACCAATCAGGGGATGGTTCTGGCTGCAGCACTCAGCATCCTCATTAGGACGCAGTTTGCTTGGTCTTCAGTCACCCTGCCTTATAAAGAAGTTGCAAAGGAATACACCTTTGTGATCATGAACAAAAAATAGAAGATTTCCCAGTGCTATTTCCTGTATTGAGATCAAGGACATCCAAGAAAATGGTTATTATTAACTAGAAAATATATACTTTGTGTTTAAAAAAAGAAGATTGAATTTGGCAACTGCATGGTAGAATGGTGTTAGGGGCACACAGAACCTCTGTACAGAAATAAAAAGGAAAGATTGGTGAACTTCATTCAAACACTGAGCTAGTGCAATGACTGCATTTTTTATGGAAGAAATTATATACTATGGATGTATCTGAGATGTGGGAATTGTGAAGCTCTTGGGTCACACACTTTGGTAATGTCAAGACCCTAGTCAAATTTGTGTCTGCCTAGAATTCTTAGCTAGGTTTTGGTTTTCTTAGTGCAGGATCCCAGAACCTAGCACAATACCAGGGGCAGGATCAGCCCTCCATAGAAACTTGTTAAACGAGTGGATAAATGAGTGAACAAACAAGTAAATAGCTGGCTAGCTGGCTGGTTGGATAGATGAATGAATAAAGCCTTCATTCATAGCTCTGAATGTGAAGTTATAAGATCAGCCAAGGGAGTCCCTAAGGCTGGGGCCTGGGTGTTTTAGATGTGTCCCTTTTGGGGGATTCTAACAAAGACAGAGTTCATTTAATGTTTGCTAAAGGAAGGGCATTCTCAACTCTCTGAGCCTCGCTCTCCCCATTTGTGAGATGTGGATTGTCGTTGCTCTTCTCCAGGCAGACTAAGTGGATTGAGTGAGCTTCTGTGTGCAAGAAGGTCTTTCAACACCAAAGCACTGGTGTCAGCCATTGTGAATGGTGAATCGTGGCAGTGATCATGATTTCAAGGTCAAGAGTGGGGATAGAAGTTAGTATGTGCAAGTGAAAGTAAATAAGTAGTCTGGCTGGCACAGGGGACTGGGGAACCTGCTGGGGGGCATAGAAGGGGGCCAGCAGCCATCGCACTGGGCCTGAATTCCTAGTGGGGTTCTCTTCCGTGGCCCTGGGCAGCCATGAGAACTGTCTGGAGGAGCCCTGGGAAACCAGGCTTCTGGACTCTTTTCCTAATCACATAAAAGCAGCCCAGCCAGGGTCCCTGAAGCAGCCTATCTGATGCCGGCATGTTTGTGAGATCTCTCACAGATGATGCTGTCAATTAAAGGTCTCTCCTGGCACCCCTACAATCTTAGCCTCCCCCACTCCCTAGGAGAAGGACAATTGAGGCTGTGACAAACTTCCCAGCCAAGATCTTTCTAGGGATAATATGGCCAGGCTAATTACCACACGTTAATTAGGTAAGACTCAATTATATGAGCAAGGCTTGCCAGCCCAGAACTTCGGGGGTTTTCAAGTTATTTACCCAGTGCTCTGATTTTTGCTGGAAGAAAATGATTTCTTGCTCCTAGGCAAACTAAACCCACAAATTAGGGAAATGACTGTCTCCTGAGCCCTATAAAGAGGGAGACAAGATCACAAGCTGGTGAACTGTCCCACAGCTAAGACTTAGCTTCTTCTTTGAGCTCTCTGGTCTCCCTAACATGAGCCGCCAATTCACCTGCAAGTCGGGAGCTGCCTCCAAGGGGGGCTTCAGTGGCTGCTCGGCAGTGCTCTCTGGGGTCAGCTCATCTTCCTACAGAGCAGCGGGCAAAGGGCTTGGTGGGGGCTTCAGTAGTCGGAGCCTCTACAGCTTGGGGGGCGGCCGGAGCATGTCCTTCAACGTGTCCAGTGGCAGTGGGCGGACTGGAGGCTATGGATTTTGTCGGGGTCGGGCCACAGGCTTTGCTAGCAGCATGTTTGGCAGTGTGGCTCTGGGGCCTTCGTATCCAGCCACATACGTGCCTGGGGGCATCCACCAGGTCACTATCAACAAGAACCTTTTGGCCCCCCTCAATGTGGAAGTGGATCCCGAGATCCAGAAGGTGCGCACCCAGGAGCGGGAGCAGATCAAGGCTCTAAACAACAAGTTTGCCTCCTTCATCGACAAGGTGGGTCTTTCTAGTGAAATGTAAGCATGGAACTTTCCTCTTTCCTCTGCCTTTACTGTCCTTGAGGGGGCTCCATTTCTAGAGCAGAGAAAGTAGGGGACACAGCCCCAGGAGGCAGACAGCACAGGACAGATCAGAGAGGAACTGGATATTGAATCTGAGGGACAGGGGTCAGCATGGAGAGAAGAGCTAGAAAGCTTGGTCTGGGAAAGTGTCCAGGAGGCAGAGAAAGTGGCCTTCAGGCTGATAAGTGGGAGAGTGACAAAAAATGATCTTTAGAAACCAGGCAGAGGAGAGGCCAGTGGCAGCTGGAGATGCCTAGAAGGCCAGGGGTCCCAGTTCTTCCTCCTAGGGGACCCAGACCAGATCAGGCTTGGATCAAATGAAGGACTCTGTCTGCAATACACCTAACCTAGGAGACAAGACTGATGTGATCACAGGCACCAGGGCAGTGGTTCTTAAACATGGTCCTTGAACCAGCCCCATGAGCATCACCTGGACACTTGATAGAAACACATATTCCCAGGCTCTACCCCTCTGAATCAGAAACTTTGGGGTGGCACCCAGCAATCTCCATTTTGACTGACCCTCTAAGTGATGCTGATGTATGCAAAAATTTGAGAACCACTAAGGAAAAAAAGTGGTGGTAGGGTCTTGAGAAGTAGAAACTTCCTGAGCATAGGTAGCAGGGGACATATGAATAGGAGTGATCCCAATGGAGGTGGCAAAGGCAGTCTAGGGAGAGGGAGCCCATGCAGCATGGCAGGACTAAGGATGGAGCCCTTGGGTTTGTGAGAGTGTTGGATGCATGTGGAGGAGGGGTGGAAGGGCTGGGCACATTGTGCAGAGCATTGACCCTGTGGGTGATGTGGAACCACTTGAGGGTGTTAAATAAGGGAATGACATGATATTTTTGGACTGTGTTTGGAGAATGCTTGTCTCCCCCTGCCCCTGGGGAAATGCTCAGATTGAGATTAGAGATCCAAGTGTTAAAGCGATGGAGGAGGCTCAAGATCCAAGAGCAGTGGAGCATTGACCTCCAGCTCAATGGAAGACTGGGAGGGGCCATGAACAAGGGGTCAGAAAATAGACAGATCACAGGCTGGCCCCCCACATGTCCCAAGCAGAAGAGCCCAAGAATGGAACAGTAAGCCCTGGCCAGCTTATGTGTCCAAGGACTCACCAGGCTACAGAGGCAGCCCAGGCAAGTTTAGGTAGGTGCAAGGAGCCAGCGGGTCTAGATCTCAACAGATTGAGAGGGGAAAGAAAATGTTGGGGTCCTCCTTATCTTAGAAACTGTGTTCAGAGGAAGCGCCTCCATCAGACTAAGAGTTCTAGGTGGGGAGGGATTTAAGTGGCATTTTAAAAAATATTTTTTAGTTGTAAGTGAACACAATACCTTTATTTCATTTATTTATATGTGGGGATCAAACCCAGTGCCTCACAGTGCTAGGCAAGTGCTTTATCACTGAGCCAAAACCCCAGCCCTTGAGTAGCATTTTTAAGGGGCTCACCTTTTAAGTTAACATAGTGTAAGATAGCACCATTCCTTCACAGTTCTCTCCACATTGATTGTGAACTAGGTTCAAGGTGGCTGTTGATTTGGGTTCCAGGTGCGGTTCCTGGAACAGCAGAACCAGGTGCTGGAGACCAAGTGGGAGCTGCTGCAGCAGCTGGACCTGAACAACTGTAGGAAGAACCTGGAGCCCATTTATGAGGGCCACATCAGTAGCCTGCGGAAGCAGCTGGAGACCCTGTCTGGGGACAGAGTGAGGCTGGACTCAGAGCTGCGGAACATGCGGGACGTGGTGGAGGACTACAAGAAGAGGTGAGCAGGGACACTGCCTGGGCTGGCTGCCTCCTGGGGTTGGTCTTTTCCAGCAGGCACTGGGACCTATGATTCTGGCACAGATCACTGAGCTTGTCTGCCCAGGCAAAACAAGAGCTTTCCATGGGCAACCACACGGGCTGGAGAGTGGACAGTCAGGCTCTCAGGCAGAGTGAGGGCTGTCCTGGCAGGCATCCCTCTTTGGCATGCTCTTTCCTACTGTCCACCTGAGAGCCCCGTATGTGGATAGCTCAGCCTCTTGGCTCTTAAGCACACCAAGTGTGCCCTGAGTTCCAAGAAGCCCCCTCACAGGGCAGGAGGTGGAGTTTTTGTTTGGGCTTCTTCTCTCATTTCCCTTAGGTCCTGGACATTGAAGCCATGCTCCTTCTTCTTGCTCTAGGGGACAGTTCTGGCTTCCTTGGCACTTGTGCCTCAGAATGGAGGGGAGTTGTGAGTAAAGGAGTCAGGTAGCAGGGGTTTCACAGAAAGCATGGCTGAAAGGGGCAGCAGCATGTTCCTATGATTTGGATGCTGAGTAGGAGGAGGAAGAACCTCCTCACTCCCCAGGCATCAGAGGAAATTCAGACCCAAAACATCCAGTCATTGGCCCAGGACCCAGCCCACAACTCTGGCCAAGTGTTCCTAGAGTTGGGACCATTGCATAGATATAGAATAATACCTGTTGAAAGACATGTAAGGTGGGAATCTCTCTTCTCATTTCTCAGTGAGGACACACACACACCCGCGTGCACGCACACACGCAGGTACACCTTTCTCACTGGTGCTCTTTCTGCAGGTATGAAGAGGAAATAAATAAGCGTACAACTGCTGAGAATGAATTTGTGGTGCTTAAGAAGGTGAGGATGCCTGGCCTCTGTTCTCTTAGGGGTGGGCAGAGGATGGACTGAGGCCTGTGCTCCCTGAGGAAAGGCCTGGGGCTGACGAGCCCACAGAGGAGATGAAGGCTTGTTGCTTGAGAGCCCTGGACACTTGATGGTTGTCTGGAACAGAACATTTTGGGGGTGTGTTAAAGGAACAGGAGTCCAGCCTTGGACAGTCTAGCTTATGCCCTCTGCCTAGGCCACAGGACAGGCTCTGGGAAGGGCTGAGATCACCCTTTCACCCTGCCTGTCATTGGCAAATTGCTGTGACTGTTCGTGGCTCACTGACTTCCTAGTGACTGCCACGTGGAGAAGCAGGCTCCCTTGCCCTCTTTGAAGAAAGAGGCAGGAGGAGTTACAGAGGTCTGAGGAACTTGCCTGAGGTTGCACAAGGAGTCCTGGCTGGAAGTCAGGTTTCTGTCCCTGGGTCTTGACTCCATTCCCTGGGGTGGCTATCCCCAGGATTGGTGCTTGGGTGTCATTTAGTGAGTGGGTCTTATATAGCCTCACAGGAAGGCCATGTCAGGGGGTCTCTGGATTCTTCCTAGGATGTGGATGCAGCTTACATGAGCAAGGTGGAGCTTCAGGCCAAGGTGGATGCGCTGGACGGAGAAATCAAGTTCTTCAAGTGCCTTTATGAAGGCGTAAGTCTCCCCTGCCCAACTCCAGCTCTGTCTTCTAGAAGGACAGACATATATTCTTCTTATTGGTAACTTTAAGGCCCAGGGGACCTCCAGTACTCGCTGCTGGAAGCTTTATAGGTCAAAGGCAGGAAGATCTATTAGCTCCTGCCTGTCCTCCAGAGGTCCCACTCACATCTTTCAGGAAGCCATTGGACCTTATGGGGTTCACACTGAACTTCACTCAAGCAGATTCTCATTCCCACTTGTCTTCTCTTTGGTGTTTCCTAGGGTCTTGGCAGGAATCCCCAGGGATGGAGCTGGCACTCCCCACACCCTTTCTGCTTCTTTTATGAGCATCTGGCTTCAAGCTTTAGTCTATTGACCAAACATCCACAGGCTCCTGTGACCCTTGTGTAGTGGCCAGGATATTTCTCTCTATCTCTCCTACTCCTGTCCTGCCTCAAGTGACAGATATAAGGGCTGCTTTCTTCTTGGTCTGCTTAAAACCTATTCAGCAGTGTTTTGATGTGAAATTTTGATATTTGATTTTTTTGCTATTGAAACTTGGGCTGGTGAGCTCTAATCTTACAGGCATTAGGGGAAGCAAGTTCATCTGTTTGGAATAGTCTGGGGCCACCCTTTTGGAATGGGGCCATCCCCTTGGCACCTTCCTCTGATCATGAAAAAACAAAACAAAAAACTGAATGCTTTCTTGTCTCCCCTGCAGGAGATTGCTCAGATGCAGTCCCATATCAGTGACACATCTGTCATCCTCTCCATGGACAACAACAGGAACCTGGACCTGGACAGCATCATCACAGAGGTCCGTGCTCAGTATGAGGACATTGCTCTGAAGAGCAAGGCTGAGGCTGAGGCGCTGTACCAGACCAAGGTGAGGCTGCACACCTGTCCAGTCATGTGTATGGGGGGCTCTGTCTAGTCTCTGTTTCATCTGTCCATGACTCTCCAGGAGCCTCTGAACTTCAGCCAAGCATTTGTTCTCATTCTGAGTACTGTGCTTACCGGGAGCACAGTACTGTACCCCGATACTGGAGGAAGCCTAAGGGAGGAGAAGACACAGCTCAGTCCTTGGGATCCACTTAGACTGACAGCAGCCATTGGACATGCACACAGCTGAATGCAAATGAACGCGGTGCTCCCAGAACCCAGACTAGGGAACTAGGCCAGGACTGACTCCCTGGAGGCCGAGTTCTGAACTGAGTCTCGGGTAGGGGAAATATGAGTAGGTGAAGCCTCGGCTCCAGCATTCATTATATAAATTAGGGGATCCTTCAGTATGATCTGGGATCAGGTAACTCCTACCTTTTCATTTAAGTCCAACTCCAAGGATAAAGAGTGAGTTTGAGTCTCTTAGATCTTAACTCCTCTAATGGTTTGGTTGTGGGTGGGGAGTGACTCTAGATAATTTGGTTTCTCAGATCAAGATGGCGACTTTTTAATTATTCCTTGCTGTTTATCAGACTCTTTCTCTAGGGAAATCACTCTTGGAAGAACTTCTTTCTCCCTCCCCTGATTCCCTGCCAATCTTGGATAGAAGGTTTGGACGGTAGTTGGGAAGGGAGGTTCTCAGGGCCCCAGAGACAACAGAGGTCAGGGTTTCTTGATATTGTCACAGATTTGAGAGTCTGGTCCCCAGACCCTTTCACATTACTGTCTCAAACCAGGGCTGGGAATGGCTGTGTTGCCTATCCATGCCGAGCTGTCAGGAGCCAGTGCTCAATCCCAGGCTGTTATGTCCCACCCCCCTCTCCAGAAGGAGTAGGCAGGTCTGCATAGACACACAGACATGATCACTGGACCATTTGCTGCTTGAAGTTATCCATACCTCTACTTCTCCATTTAGGGCTCAGTATTTATTGAGAAGAATATCACTGTGGCATTCAGAGTATTTTAGTTATTTTCCTTTTCAAGGATGAAGAATTGGGGCTCAGGATGTCCAAGTAACTTGCCAAGGGCATTTAGCTAGTCAGTGATGGGGCTGGAGCTGAGCTGAATGAACTGATTACAACTTCCTTGGTGCTTAGGCAGGAAGTCAGGAGATGGCTGAGGAAGAAGCACCAACTCTACCCAGGGGCTTGGCTGGGCTGAGAGCTGAGTGGCAGGAGGGTGCTCACCTGATTGCCTCGGGAGTGTATGGGGCATCCCTCCTGCCCACTTATAGAAAAATGGGGAGGAGCCTCTGACAAGGGTTAGCACCAAATACTAAACATAAGGAGCATAGAGAGATTCTCCTGCCTTTGGAAGGACTTAGCAACCCCAGGAGGAATCTCGAATCTGAGGCTATGCTGGCGCTGAGCTCTCAGGTACAGAGACAGGGCAGTTTATGTCCCTAGAGTGCTGAAGGTTACACCTATTTTGTGGTTCCCTTAAGTCAAATCCTGGACTAGAACTGGGGTACTCCCTATTGACTACTCAATGAACCTTAAAGGCAGGAATAATCCTGAACCAGTACATGACCCAAAATTCATGGCTAGACGTATTGAGGTACAGATGACGTCACCCCTACCACACATACAAATGGTTCCTTCATGCTAAGCCCTCCCTCCTAGCCCAGCAAGGATTCCACAGACAAGGATCCAGCTAACGTATCAAGAGAGGAAGTCCATCTGTAGGAAGTACAGATGGAAAGCTTATTGACTCCCTCTTTCATTCATTCATTCATTCACCAGAATTTCCTAGAGCACTGACTAGGCACTGTGCTAAGTACTGGTAATGCAGAAATTAAAGATCCTGTCATCTATTCATTCTGAATATGACAAGGAAGGCACAGAAATGTGTCATCATGATGTGGTATGCTCTTCCCTGTGGACTGATATGCCAGGGACAATGGGAACAGAATTGCATCTAACCAGGGGATGAGGAAAGGCCTCCTAGAGGAAGTGGCACTGCCCTGTGAGTTGGAGCCAGCTAGGGAAAAAGGAAGAACAGAGGAAAGGGGTTTCCAGGTGGAGGGAGGGGCTCAAGCAAAGACTCAGAGACATAAGAGTGGGTGAAATACCTTGGGGAACTGTAGAGCTATATGATACAGCTGGGAAGTCAGGTGATGGGCAGGGGTACTGAGAAATGAGCACCTTGAAATCAAGCTAAGAGTTTTAATTTGACCTTGACCTTGAAGTGGTACAAGGATCATAATTGGAGTTGGGTGTTACAAAGTTACCGTGTGGAGAGTATTGGATTTCCAATCGTCCTTACGGCCAAATCGAACCCAGTGAGATTAGCTGTATTTAAGGCAAACAAAAAAGTCCAATGAACGATGGTTGAAGGGGAGGTTGTGGATGGGCTGGTGAGGCTGGGAGTCCCTGCCCACCTCTGCCAAGCAAAGACAGAGTCTCTGTGCCAAGCAGGGCTCAGTGAGGCCCGGAGTCATGTCCCTGCTTTGGCCCCTCTCTCTCCAGTTCCAGGAGCTGCAGCTGGCGGCTGGCCGGCATGGGGATGACCTCAAACACACCAGGAACGAGATCTCAGAGCTGACCCGGGTCATCCAGAGACTGCGCTCAGAGATTGAGAGTGTGAAGAAGCAGGTGAGGGGGCTGGGCTCTGGACTCACCCCCAAGGGAGGCAAGAACTTCTGTCTGCATTCTGCATGTCAGAACCCATTTCTCATGGAGACCCTGCCCCCTGCAATACCTCGCTCCCATTGGAAGTCTGGAAGCATCCAATGGTCTTTTCATAAAGCCTCAGCTCTCAGAATAATAAGCCTTCTGGTGCTAGGTTGAGGAGCTCCACCATCATCTGGGTCCCTGGTCTAGGAAATAGGGCACAGCAGAGGAGGGTCCAACACCGTGAGCACAAGGGGGATGCAGTGAGGCCCAGGTGCCTCAGAACTTAGGGGGAAATGCTACTTCCTGCCCCTTAGTGCTCCAACTTAGAGACGGCCATTGCTGATGCCGAGCAGAGGGGTGACTGTGCCCTTAAGGATGCCCGGGCCAAGCTGGATGAGCTGGAGGGCGCCCTGCAGCAGGCCAAGGAGGAGCTGGCCCGGATGATGCGTGATCACCAGGAGCTCCTGAGCGTGAAGCTGGCCCTAGATATTGAGATCGCCACCTACCGCAAGCTGCTGGAGGGCGAGGAGAGCAGGTGAGGGGCAGCCTTAGGGGCTGGAAGATCCTTTGCCATCTCTCTTTCCACTCAGTTTCCCAGAGTGTGGGCGTCAGGCTGCTGGAGGGCTGGAGATGCTTTTTGGCTCACCTATGCACATAGCCTGGAGCAGTGTCTGCTCTGATAATGTGACAGCAATGTCCTTTGGCTCTTGGGGGAGAATGTCAGCTTAGTGCTCCTATGTCTTTAAGGCCTCTCACAAGCTTGCACATGATCCCATGTTAATAAAGAGACAGTGGACCCCAGATGCACAGTCACTTGGCAGACATCAGAATCTAGTCCCCCTCAACTAAATTGTTTTATTTTCATTATTTTTATTTTTACTGGTACTCCCCCCCCCCAATTTGGTAAAGTAATATTGGTTTTCTATTTATTATGGTGATAGAAAAGTTTTTTTTAAAAAAAGAGAAATGCATTTCTGATAAAAGACAGTTAAAAATACTAAATCTATGACAGTGCAAGGTGCACATGGTCACAGCAACAGTTAGAAAGAGAGTTCACGAAACACTGACATTTGAAAATCCCTGCAACATAGAGAGGAGAAGTTATTGGTCTCAAGTCACACAGTGACTTCATCAGGAGCAGTTCCTGGTCCTAACAGCTCCACGTGTATATTTATAGGGGGAGGAGCTTCCCAGCAATACAGAAATGGGCTCAAGAGAAACTTTGCAGGAGGGACCCTGGGAGGGGCATAGGGGCCCCAAGGTCACAGGCCTCCATTCTCTGAAGTGAGGAGGGTAGATTGAGGAGGGAGGGAGATGCTTAGAGGCAGCGGTACAGGAACTCATGGAGGCCCAGCTGGTCTGGCTGATGACTTCCGCGCTAGGGTTGAGGCAGTGGAGAGGGCAACCTGAATTCCACGTGAAGGAGACTCAGTTGTGTTTTCTCTCTGTGCAGGATGTCTGGAGAATATACCAATTCCGTGAGCATCTGTGAGTATTTCATATCTCTAAGGGAGTATGTCTAGGTGATCAACAAACACAAAGGCAATGAATCGAGACCCCTGTGGAACAGTCTGGGCTCTGTTTGGTGGCCACGATTGCCACATCCTTGCCTCCCTTGCAAAAACCTGCTGCCTCCTCTCTCCCAATTCAGAGCTGCTTTTTACCCACACTGTGACATTGCACACTGACCCCTTCCCTTGAAATCTCGCCCATGCTGGGATGAAATGCCCAATCCCACCCCCGCTTCTGCCACCCCCACCCCAGCTTTCCTGCATGAAGGAACCGTGGCCCCAGAGTCCCAGCTCCCCTCTGAGGGCAGAGACCTGCGCACTGACGTGCTGTGTGAGCCAGTTTTAATGCTGTCTCTATAGGGTTCAGCCCACGCTCCTTCTAAAAGAGGCTCCAGCAAAAACTCCCTACTTCAACCCATCAGGAAATACTTTGAAAGAAAAAACTTAACGCAAAAGAGAAATGCAAGAACGGAGCTTATCTGATACTTGAGCTTCATCTGTTCTTCAAAACTTGCTACTGTCGTTTGTTCCTGGAATGAGCAGGTGCCCAATTCGAGGGTCCTGTGGGATCTGGGCTGTTTTTCCTCATGCTTTGGCTGGCTGCTCAAGAATTGAGCATGTGTCACTAAACCAAAGTTCACAGTGACTATGAACTGTTTGCTTAAGAGGGAGTCATTTAAACTAGTTGGGGCTAGGGGTTGGAAAGGACTCAGGGCCACCCCTGCCCAGGACACAAACTGATCACTTCTCTCTCCTTCCTTCACAGCTGTCATCAGCAGCTCTAATTCTGGGACAGCAGGTGCAGGGGCTGGGTTTGGGCTCAGTGGTCCTGGCACCTATGGCTACCGGACCAGCTCTGTCAGTGGGGGCTATAGTGTGCTGCCTGGGGGCTGTGTCACTGGCAGTGGGAATTGCAGCCCCCGCGGGGAGGTCAAGACCAAGCTGGGCAGTGGAAATGACTTCAAGGATGCCCCAGGGAAGACCTTAGTTCTGAGCTCACCCACCAAGAAAACCACGAGATAAAGTGGCCGACAGCCCAGCCTGTTCCCCAGCATCTGCCCTGCCCAGGTTTTCTCTGGACTCTCTTCTCTAGGAAGTTCCTCTGTCTTGTTTGTCATCACCTTTTCCTTGTTTTTCTTTGTCACCAACATCTCCTCCTTCTCTTTGACCTCTCTGCCCTAGTATTCTTAGTCGAAATCCTGATTCTGGGCTAGAGTTGCTTCCCCATCCTTCTGCCTCCACAGAGACCCCTCAACTCAGCCTCTCCTTCCTGATGAGGACCTTGCCCTTTCTCTGCCTGCATGGCCCCTTATAGAGGAAGGTTCTCTCTCAAGAGTGGCACAATTCTCCTGCTATGCTCTCCACCCTGGCTCAGGCAGTCATCTGGCCAGGTGTTCCCTGGACACAGAAGACCTCAGGTGCATTGATGCATAGTCTAGGAAGAATGGTTTCCTCTTAGACCAGCACCAGCTCAGGACAGGTGCCTGGTCACAGGTGTATCTGGTATGGTCACTGCCCATTATAGAGTTGAGCGTCCCCTGTGAGGCTGGTCCTACCAACCAAGGGATCTGGGCTCTCAATCTGAGTTATTGTCCCTGTTTAGGTTTCATCTCCCTGCTTCCTGTATCCCACCAATAAACTTTAAAAACTCCTGCAGGGTCAGGTTGTCTTTCTCTCCTGAGGGAAACCTCATCTCAGACCATGTCTCTTCTGTGGGTGGAGTGGTCACTGAATGGGAACCCAGGGCACCTGAGGTCCCCTGGTTCACAGAGCCCCAAAGCATCTTTTGATTGGAGTAAAAGAAACCCTTCATGGATTGCACTGACACTCAGTGTTCATCTGTACCCCCTCCTCCCAGTAGATGAGCCTTCTAAGTTGTACTTTTCTCAATGTGGTCCAGTGAATGTGCACTCTTTAGAAATATTCAGGTCCATAGTAGGAGAAGGAGCAACCATTTGTCTGGTGGAAAGATTTAAAATTGGTTAAGAGGTTGCAGAAAGCATAACACTTGATATCTTTTTTATTCCCTGAGAAAAAACCCAAAGATAGTTTCCTCTTTCGAGTAAAGACTTAATTACTTTTGGTCCTTAGTTAAGTATGGGTGTATATGTATGTATGTGTATACATGAAATTTGGTAAGTATTTGGGTATGCACACACACACACGCACACACAGATGAGGTTTTATATGTATAAATACATGTTGTGTGTGTGTTTGTGTGTGTGTAAGTAGAGGGCCATCTCTGTTACATTCACTTCTTTGTTTTGAAAACACTTGCATGCTCAGAGATGCCTCATAGGTTCCCAGGCGAGATGATGCTGTCAGGGTGCACAAGCCAGTGAGAGGCCAGTGCACATTCAGATTGAGGTTGACATGTTGTGCCTGACCAGACTCCTGTGGGTCCAGAGAGGCTACACTTCCAAGTCTAGAGCTTTGAATTTGGACTCAGACTTTGCAACTAACTGGTGATTAACAGCAAATCTATCAAACCTTTTGAACCTCAACTCTTTATCTACACACTAGGCAGAATCAGATCCCCAGATGGTCATTAAGCTAAAATGAGACAACACAAAGATTCTTGTGCTGTTCCCGGCACAAGGTTATGCTTGACAAATGTTAGTGGAAACGGAAGCTTGTCCTCTATCTTTTTGGTTCAAAAACTCGACAATGAGTTTGCTGCACGAGGCATGTGACTGCTGGTAAATCAATTCACAAAATCCAAACTTGAAACAAGACCATATTCTAAGCAATAATGTTTATTTCCCAAAGAACTAACTTCCAGAATAACCAGTTTCAGGAATGGACTCTTGGGGCCAGTGAAAGTCAGTTCAATAAATATTATGTATTATGTGCCTGGTGTGTGTTACTCTGGGGATACAGTGATGAAGAAACCTGGTCCATGACCTTATGGAGACATACCATTAAAAAAGTAAACAGACAACAACAACAACAACAACAAAAAGTAAACAGAACATAGAGAACAGAGACTAAAGAAGTTACAGAGGCAGTACAGGGGGAGTGAGGGAGGGCAGGGAAGGCTCACAGAGGAGGAAACAGAGATCGCTTCAGAGGTTTCACAGGAGTTTACTAGCTGGACAAGAGGAGGAAGTGAGTTTGGGGGCCACAGGCACTTTGTTACTGTTCTGGAGGTGGGAGGGAGATCAACAGGTGGTGAGGGGGTGCAGTGGCACCTGGGGTGGAGGAGGCATTAGCAGGGCCATACCAGAGAGGACTTCTCTCATCTGCTAAGAATAAAGATTTTGTCCTATGGAACTTGAGGGACAATTGACACCTTGTCTGTCAGGTGGAGCCTGAGTCAAGAGACCTCTGCCACTCACTGGTGGTCTGAGTACGGCAGGACTTCTGCTCATTTCCCTCATCTGTAAAAAGGGTTAATAGTTTAAGTTACCTCATAAAGTTGTCACAAGAATTAAGTTTAATGAAATAATGTTTGAGGATTATTTAGTTCAGTGCCTGGGACTTAGTAACGGCTCCATGAGTTGTTGCTCTTAGCACGATAAGGTCTTAACTATTTTCTTCAAGAAAGTTGAGTGAGAAGGGAAGCAGGGTCGGTCTCATAGAGAGCAGAAGATTGATGAAAGTGAACCAGCCGATGGCCATTGGCTATTTAGAGATATTTCTGCCATGCAGTCTTTATCTTGGGTTCTGATCATTAGTGCTGACTGCCTTAAATGAAACATGAGCAGCTTAGCTTAATACAACAAAGGTGGATCTCACTCATAGGCCAAGGCTGGGTAGGGCAGCTGTCCTCCATCATAGCTGTTGTAGCCCCATCACATGAGACACATGGCCTCCAAGGTCACTGAGACAGGGGAAAAGGGAGATGGAAGAGGCACATGGGCTGTTAACTACCTCATCATCCCAGATGGGATATACTTTCATGCCACTTACACTTCAGTGTCTAATGCTAGTCGCATGGATCCAAGTCCCCATGGAACCTCACTGGAGGCTGGGAAATGAGGAGGAGTGTGAGGCCATTTGGTGTGCTCTGGCAGTCAGTGGTGCAAGCCTACTCAGCCTAGAGACCCTGTGCCATTGCTAGGATGAGTATTTTTTTCCGTTGGCCAGTTCTGGGAGGATGCTGGACATGTTCTCTGGGGTCCATGCAGATAATCTCCCTTTGGTTTTGACAATACAACTCTAGACAGAGGGCCATAAGCTAGATCAGGCTGCATGTTATATTTATATCTCCTTTGTTTTTCCAAAAACTCCACCAGGAAATGTGTCGAAATCATAAATGAATTCAGCAAAGTAGCAGGATACAAAATCAACCTCATAAATCAATTGTGTTCTTATACTCCAATAACAAATCAGCTGAGAGAGAAATGAGGAAAACCATCCCATTCACAATAACATCAAAAACAAAACAAAAACAAAATAAAACTTGGGAATTAATCTAACAAAAGAGCTAAAAGACCCTACAATGAAAACTACAGGACACTAATGAAAGAATTTGAGGAAGACTTAGAAGATGGAAAGACCATCCATGTTCCTTTTTTTTTAGTTGTAGATTTTTTTAATGAGATTTTTTTTTTAGTAGATTTCTCTTCAGAAGACTTCACAGTCAATAGGAAGTGTCACAACATCTTTCTTTTATTATTTATTTATTTAAATTAGATATATCTGACAGCAGAATGCATTTTGATCCATTGTATACAACTTTTCATTTCTCTGTTTGTACATGATGTAGCATCACACCAAATGTGCAGTCATACATGTACCTAGGGTAATGATGTCCATCTCATTCTACCATCTTTCCTGCCCCCATGCACCCTCCCCACTTTCCCCTCCCTTTGCCCAATCAAAGTTCCTCAATTTTTCCTATACCTCCCCCCTCCCAGTTATGGATCAGTATCCACTTATCAGAGAACATTTAGCCTTTGGTTTTTTGGGAATTGGCTTACATTGCTTAGCATAATATTTTCCAACTCCATCCATTTAACTGCAAATGCCATAATTTTATTCTCTTTTATTGTTGAGTAATATTCCATTATGTATATATACCACAGTTTCTTTACCCCATTCATTATTGAAGGGCATCTGTGTTGCTGCCACAGTTTAGCTATTGTGCTTTGAGTTGCTATGAACATTGATGTGGCTGCATTACTATAGTATGCTGATTTTAAGTCCTTTGGATATATAGACCAAGGAGTGGCATAGCTGGGTCAAATGGTGGTTCCATTCTAAGTTTTTAAAGGAATCTCCATACTGCTTTCCAGATTGGTTGCACCAATTTGCAGACCCACCAGCAATGTATGAGTGTGCTAGATTTTCAAAGAAAATATTGAATAGAAGTGGTGAAAGAGGGTATTCCTGTCTTGTTCCAGTTTTTAGAAGGAGTGTTTCCATTTTTCTCCATTTAGAATGATGTTGGCCTTGGGTTTAGTTTAGCATAGATAGCTTTTACAATGTTGAGGTATATTCCTACTATCTCTAGTTTTTCTAGTGTTTTGAACATGAAATGGTGCTGTATTTTTGTCAAATGCTTTCTCTGCATCAATTTATATAATCATATGGTTCTTATCTTTAAGTCTATTGATGTGATGAATTATATTTATTGATTTCTGTATGTTGAACCAAGCTTGCATCCCTGGAATGAACCCCACTTGATCATGGTGCACTATTTGTTTTTAGAATTATATTTTTCTAGTTGTCAATGAACATTTATTTATTTATTTATATGTGGTGCTGAGAATTGAACCCAATGTGTCACACATGCTGGGCAAGTGCTCTACCACTGGGCTACATCCCCAGCCCCAACTATTTTTTTAAAATATGTTTTTGTATGCAATTTGCCAGAATTTTTTTGAGAATTTTTGCATCTATGTTCATCAGGGATATTGGTCTGAAATTTTCTTTCCTTGATATGTCGCTGCCTGGTTTTGGTATCAGGATGATACTAGCTTCATAGAATAAGTTTGGAAGGTTTCCTTCCTTTTCTATTTCATGGAATAATTTGAGGAGTATTGGTATTAATTCTTCTTTGTAGATCTTGTAGAACT